AAAGTCAAACACTTCAATTGCTTCATCAAGCCATCTATTACGTGCCAAACATCCAATCATCACGTTAAATATAATATCATTTTTTTTCATTGATGATCGATTATAATTAAACAAATCAAATATCGCTAACAAGGGAATTCCAGGTAAAGGAAAATTATTAACACAATTGAGTGTATTCTGGTTCGAAAAACTTTACGAAATACTGCCGAACCACTTAATCACCGCGGATTTGGAGAAAATGCCCGCTGAAGTACAAAAATATCGATCGCAATTGGAGCATCGATGTTTATTGGTTCGGAAATTAAAAGTTCTACCTATTGAGTCTATTATACGTGGATATATTACTGGTATATTATTTGAAGTTTCTTTTTAAAAAAATTGAAAGCTGATTGTAATTTCTTATCTATAGGATCCGCATGGTCAGAGTATAAGAAAAAAGGTAGTATCTGTGAAATACCCTTACCTGATGGACTGTTAGAAAGTCAAGAATTACCTGAGTTGCTGTTCACACCTAGCACTAAAGCAGAGATCGGTCAACATGGTAATCATAGTAATCATTATTTCGAATCTTTTGCTAATTGTTAATTCTTTAATTGATTGATGTGTTTTTTTTTTTGCATTTTGAAGATGAAAATATTCATCCGGATAAAGGTATTTATATTTGCTAGATTTTTTTAAAGTTCATAAGATTCACATTATTGTTACATTTATTAAAGTTACAGGATTAGTGGGTGAAACACATGCAAAAAAAATCGAAGAAGCATCCTTGAAATTATATATTAAGGTTAATAGATCAATTTTAATTGATTAATTTTTTATATATTATTTTTATTTCCCAATATAAAACTAAAAAAGATCAAATAAAAATATAGGCAAAAGAATATGCATTGACTAAAGGAATAATCATCGCGGACACGAAGTTCGAGTTTGGTACCGATTCAAATGGAAAGCTGTATTTAATTGACGAAGTCTTAACACCAGGTATAATTAATCACTATAGAGCGCTCATTATAGTATCCTGAATATTTTAAATTCTACACCTATACCCGAGGATACTATGGTTTATCAAAATATAAAAATAATGCAAAACAAGTCCTCTAAATGTCAAAAGGATATTATAGGAGGATACTATGGTTAGCGCTCTACGGTAATTTAATAAATACGCATGCATTTTTCTAGATTTCTTTGATCATAGATTAGCTAATTGATTAATTAAACTTGGAAAGACTCTTCAAGATTTTGGTTATTAAAAGATTTCAAAGCCGGTCAGAGTCAGCAAAGGTAAAGTTTATTCTTTTTCGATTCTGATACCCACAACCCTTAGTTTTACTAATGTTAATCAAAATTTCCATCAAAAAGCCTTGACAAACAATACGTGCGCAATTATCTACTTAGCATTGATTTTGACAAGCGGACAAGTATTGAATTACCAAATGATATCATTTTAAAAACAATGGAAAAGTATGTGCGAATATATACTATTTTGACTGGTGTGAAACCGGATTTCTTGTAATTATGAAAAGCTGTAATATTAGCATATAGCATTATCGTTATGCGCCAAAAGTTCAATGAGTCACACAATATGACAAATAAATCATCCGAAAATTTTCCTTATCATGTTTCTTCTCGGAACTACTAGAAACTTTTTTTCGAGATTCATACTTCAACCCACACATTTTTACTTTAAGCACACGCGTTTATACAGAAATGAGCCAAGATTTTCTTACAATGAACCTGTTCCTAGAACTCCTGCTGCCGCTTATTACAACGAAAAAGAGTCAAGATCTCGTTACTGGGCAAAAGACTTGACTACAATTCCTCCTACTACTTATAACGAAAGAGAATCAAAGTCCTCTAGTTATTGGTTAAAAGACGAGTATAGCTTAACCACGCCTATCAACAGCAAGAGTAGCAAAATCAAGCATGGTCCTCTACAAAAATATTCTAATTTTGACAATAGACATAAGAGAAATCCGGATATTTATCCAAGTGCAGAAGAAGTACAGGCAAGAATGCGAAATCCCGAACCTCATCCAACGGAAGAAGAAATTTTGGAAAGAATTCAAAGAAAACGCAAGTCACAATCGCATCGTACGAGTTCAAGAGCCTACGAACCTCCTGATTCGGAAAATTATTTAACAAGTATTGATGAAACGACACAACCTAGAAATTTCACAGGAAACGAAGGTTCATTCAACCATGTTTCAGAAAAAGAAAATTGGAAATATGATGATCAATTACGTCGTGTTGCAAGAGACGATTATGACGTTTCAGATCCCAACTCACATTTAGAAAAGGTTGAATGGTCTGAAATTCAGCACTCTCAACCTGATTCTGATAACTATTTACCGTCCTCAACCACACCATCATCTCCAATTGGACGGCGTAATTATGAACAGCGGGTTCCATCATATTCGCAACCACGTTTGACAAAAGTTAAGTGGGAAGATTCTAGAAGCTCCCACACTAACGTTAATAACCCTGATTTTGGCTTACTAAGAGACTCGAATCGATACATGGATGAAGAGGATATAAAAAATGAATTAGACTATTTATATACTCAATTAAAGAAAGAGGAACGGGCTGAAATGCAGGAAGATTATTTAAGGAATTGGAAACCACGTCTTGAAGATGAACGAGCTGATACGCCGGAAGATTATCTAAAACATCTGAAACCACGCGTTAATGACATTGATCGTGATGTATTTCCTTTATCGAATAACTTGAAAATATCTACTTATACAAGACAAGCAAACACCGAAAATGACCCCGCATTAATGTATGAGGTATTTTTGCAAATTAAATCATCAACAGAACAAAGAAATAAAAAAGCGGCATCAAAAACATTAAATAAGGAGGACCAGGCACAAGAGGGAGCAAGTGAAATACTAAATGGACATGAAGAACAGCGTGAAAAAACAATTGATATGTCAAATAATAACAAGCAAGAGTCACCGAAAATCCATCTAGCAGAAGAGGAACCAATGAAAAAAATCTCACTATTTTATAATGCAAATGAGAAAGAAATCGAATTCGAATACGTGGAAGAGGAACAAGAGAAACCATTTGTCCGAAGAAGTTATCACTACCAAGGACCACCATTACCTGAACTATTAATCGAAGAAGATAAAATGAATATTATATTTAACGTGATGATTGGATGTTTGGCACGTAATAGATGGCTTGATGAAGCAATTGAAGTGTTTGACTTT